TTATGACACATTAAAAGACTAATTACTTTCACCCCAAATACTAATTAGTTGTAATTTTACATTTTTAAAGGATTTGCCACGATCCTAGGTTTCGCCCATTTGTCAGTAAGAATTTTTTTACGCATTTAAAACACCATCAAATTTAATATGCTCCCTTATTCTTTTATATAGTTTCCTTTAAGTTAGTGTCGCTTTCTAAGACTAAGGTGGATTTAATGCAATCGCTTAAAAACAGCCTGACATTTTTTTTGTGGCTTTTCTATGTGCATACAAATGAAAATGCTCTTCTGTCAGTTGCACGATCTCCAGCAAAAAGTTGTTTTCCGGACTGCAAACGAGCATCCGGAAGAATTAGAGGATCAGAGGAAGTCGTTAGTGGTGATCTGCTGTGATTGGGCTCGTGAGTTTCACCTCAGACGCAACCTGGAAAAGGCCAAACAGCACTACACTGACGCTTTAAATCACAGCCCGGACAACGAGGAGGTCAGTCAGCTCAAATCACTCTCTCTGTGAATGTTTTGAAGAGAGAGAACGGTTTGTCACATCTGCTGTGTTTTGTGCAGGTCATCTTTCGTCTGGCTCAGTTATACTACGAGCATCAGAAGCTGGATTACTGTGAGGAACTTTGTCTGAAGATCCTGCAGCTCCACCAAAACCACACCGCTGCCTTGATGGTACGAATTTCCCAAATGAGATGCTCAGCAGTTATTTGCAGAAATTCATCTAAATATGTTTGATTTTATCCTCAGCTGTTGGCTGATACATTATTTTGGAAGAACCAAAAAGAGGAAGCAGTCAAGATTTATGCCATTATTATGGAGCGAAACCCAGGTGGAATGGAATATCAGTTTATGACACCAAACATATCATTGAGATACTAATATCATTTTTTATATATATATAAATGCGGACATCTTAACGTCTTTGACCCATGCACTGCTTGACCTCAGGCACTCGTGCCAGCTGACTGAAGCTCTGATGCACTTGAACAAGGCCAGAGGAGACGCGGACTGGGGAGAACCAGCGGTGGATCTGATGGTCCGGATCTGCCTGAACCCTGACAGAGACGTCTTCGGAGGAGAGGTTTTACATAAAGGACAAAAGGACACGAGGTGAGAACAACTGACACAAAATCTGTGTTCAAATACTAAAATGATTTCATGCGGTTTGTCTGTGATTGTTTCTCCAGCAGTGAGTCCGAGAGTGAGACGAGAATAAGCACAGCTCACAACATACTCTCGATGTTTCGGCCGCGATCTAAATCTGAGCAGGACAAACTCGAGCTGCTCTCGAATCTGTGTCGAATCTACAGCAAAGAGCCCAAAGAGGTGGAGAGAGCCGTGCTGGAGCTCACAGACATGCAGGCTAAGAACGTAAGACACGGTTTCATCAACGCAGTCACGCATTTTACTTAATGGACACTTTCATTTACTGTGTTATTTAGTCTTCAACCCTTGGAGACTGTAGTAATGTATTTTTTTCTACCCTTGAAAGTGTTTTTAGGAAGTTACTGGGTTTAAACCATGATCTTTATGCATATTGTATTTAGGGATGAATTTGGTACAAATGTTGCAATACGGGATTTTCAAGGTTGCAAAATTTCACCACTGTTGTAACTGTTTACAAGTACTGTAGATATGATAGGAGGCTAAAATGTCACACTCTTTATAGTAAAACTATATGTGGACAAATAAATGATATAATGGTAATAATAACAATTACAAAAAAAAAAGCTCAAATGTTAACTAAAATTAAAATGGAAACGGAAAATACATAAAAAAAAAACGTATTAATATCATTTTTTATATATATATATATATATATATATACATTTTGAATTGTTTTTTGTAATTTCTATCCATTTTAATTTTAAAGTTTTATTTATTTACATTTTTTTTTTTTTAGTATGTCTGTTTAGTTTTTATAATTATTTAAATTTCAGTTTTCATTTTAATTATTATAGTACAATAGATAAACTAAATAAAAATATGAAATGTTGCTTTGGCAACTTACTGAAATAAAGTAAGTTAACGTTTTTTAGGTAACTTTTGCATGTTTTATTTCAAGTAATTTTTTAATGGTTTTAGCTTTAGTTAACTTTAATAACCCTGACGCGAACACTATTTATTGAATTTAAATATTTATTTTCTGTTTCCATTTTCAATAGACCACTTTCATGCCATGGCCAAGTTTCTGCACATTCTGCGCAGAATGGGGAAACTCGATGACGTCCGGTCTGTTTTTATAGCGTGTGAAAAGTTCAGTCCACTGTCGGTCAGAGAACCGGGTTATAATTACTGCAAGGGTCTCTACTTCTGGTCAGTGTCCATCAGACAATATCATCATTTGTATTATAATGGTTGTAGTTGTAAGTTTTTGGCAATAATTAATATTGATTAACTGATGCTTGAAACATACTTTTAATAGTTTGTTATTAAACTGTTTCAATTATTCACCTTTCCAATAAAAATAAGGAAAAACTGTGGAAATATAAATAATAATAAATAATTACAAAAACACAGAGAAAAAAAGCTAAAACGTTAATTAAAATTTCAATGAAAATTATGACACAATAATACTGCCTCTAAAACCCTTTGAAAATACACATTTACTTGGTGCATATTTATAAATATATAACTTGTGTGTGTGTGTGTATATATATATATATATATATATATATATATATATATATAATTGATGTATTAGTTTTTTAGTAACGCTTTACAATGAGGTTCATTAGTTAACTACTTTAGTTAACATGAATTAAGAATGAACAACACTTCTACAGCATTTATTAATCTTAGTTAATGTTCATTTCAACATTTACTAATTCATTATTAGAATCAACAGTTGTGCTTGTTAACATTAGTTAATGCACTGTGAATTAACAGTGAACGACTGTATTTTCATTAATAAATACTGTAATGAATGTATTGTTCATTGTTTGTTCATGTTAGTTAATACTTTAACTAATGGAACCTTATTGTAAAGTGTTACCAGTTTTGTTGTTGTTGTTGTTGTACTTCTAATACATTTTGTGTTGTAAAGGCAGAAATGTAACTCTAGTCTGACGTCAAGTGTTTATCAGTGAATTGCTCTGTCTGTCTGCAGGTGATGCTGGAGGCGTCTTTGCTCATGATGGCTCAAGGTTTCGTTCAGCTTTCTCGTGAATTTGAACTAATCAATTAACTGGTTAATCTAACTTAATTAGATTTTTAAAATTCAAAATGAAAATTAAACCGTAATTATAATAAAATATTTTATAGCAATTTTTTTTTTGTCTTAATGGTCCTAAAAGTGGTTCCAATATTTTATTTATATATATATAACCTTATTGTAAAGTGTTACCAGTTTTGTTGTTGTTGTTGTTGTACTTCTAATACATTTTGTGTTGTAAAGGCAGAAATGTAACTCTAGTCTGACGTCAAGTGTTTATCAGTGAATTGCTCTGTCTGTCTGCAGGTGATGCTGGAGGCGTCTTTGCTCATGATGGCTCAAGGTTTCGTTCAGCTGAAGCAGATTCCCAGAGCCAGAAACTTCCTCAAACGCCTCAGCAGGATGGAGTGGAGCGACACAAACGCGGATGACTTGGAGAGCGCCTGCCTGCTCTTGGCTGACATGTACATCAAGACGGGAAAATACACGCAAGTGGACAAACTGCTCGACAGCTGCATACGATACAATCAGGTCTGTTTCCGCTCACTTTAGATTTGCTGACATGTTTTCCTTTTTTGTCTGAATCTTGAGAAAGCACACAAAATGCGAAGGTGAATTCAATTTAAAAGTTCCTCTTAATATTTGCAATTTCAAAAAACTTTCCCTTGAGAAAACAGAACAATTATTTGTATGCCTTGTGCTTGAGAATACAAGCAAATATAATTATTCATAAATTGTAATTCTAGAAGTAAATATTAGTAATTATATATTTAAAGTTTATATGTGACCCTGGACCACAAAACCAGTCATAAGGGTCAATTTTTCGAAATTGAGATTTGTACATCATCTGAAAGCTGAATAAATAAGCTTTCCGAGATACAACTATTTGAAAATCTAGAATCTGAGGATGCAAAAAAATCTAAATACTGAGAAAATCATCTTTAAAGTTGTCCAAATTAAGTTCTTAGCAATGCATATTACTAATCAAAAATTAATTTTGATATATTTACGGTAGGAAATTTACAAAATATCTTCATGGAACATGATCTTTACTTAATATCCTAATGATTTTTGGCATAAAAGAAAAATCTATAATTTTGACTCATACAATGTATTGTTGGCTATTGCTACAAATATACCCCAGCGACTTAAGACTGCTTTTGTGCTCCAGGGACACATATAACTAATTAGGGTGATAATTTAACCTTTTAATTGTCACCCGTCCCCTCAGAGGGGCACCTAAGTTTACTTCTCTATATTACAAATAAATCCTAATCTAATCATGACAAAATATATATCGTTGGATATTTTAGAACTGTTTTTGTTACAAATGATGTAGGAAAAGTAATAGATTAATTTATGACGAGTGCACCTCAAAAATCTGCGTCATAACAGGAGTTCTGACCTTTGTCACAAAAAAGTCTTTTTTCGTTACCTTTTTCCCTATCACGCTTTAGAAATAAAATATATATTAACTGAAAACGTAAAATCTCTAAATTCATCCTGTGAAAACCATTTTAAAATCGGACTTTGCATTACAATCAAAATCATATTACGAAATGTTTTCATTCATGCATTATAACAATTTAAGTTTGGATAGTGCCCTTTCACGTCTGTTCAAAAATGGGAGTGACCGTTAAAGGGTTAAATATCAAAAATATAGTTATATTTAATTATATTAGATTAGTAGTAAATAGTAGTTAATTAGTTAATAATAATAAATATTTTCAATATTAAAGTATTTATTTATTTATTTTTAAATTTATTTATTTTTCCCCTATAAATATTTTTTGTACATTTTGTATTTGAATGCGAGTTGTTTGAACAACAAAGACACAGGAAAATAAAAATAATTAGAGGGTTATTTGTGAACATTTTGAGTTCTATGATGATGGATGACTGACGGCAGGACTAGTTTCAGTTGCTTTGCATTTTTCTCAGCTTCAGGCTAAAATGACACATCTCTTTATTTTCATCCTGCTGCTCCATCAGTCGTGTAGTAAGGCGTACGAGTATCGGGGTTTGATAATGGAGAGCGAGCAGAGACACAGCGACGCAGCGCTGCAGTATGAACTGGCCTGGAAACACAGCAGCAGAGCCCATCCTGCAGTCGGTGCGACTTTATCATCAAAACCATGGACATACTATAAATATTCAGTTCCATCAGAAACGCTTGCATTTGAATCTAATTGCAGGGTTTCGTCTGGCCTTTAACTACCTGAAGTGCAAGAATTACACACTGGCCGTTGATGTGTGTCATCAGGTTTGTAAGAAGTGAAGGAATGAGGCATTAGATGAAGTGAGTGATTGATCTCAGATCGGTCTCATCGACTGCTGTTTGGTTGTAGGTGCTGCAGCAGCGTCCAGATTACCCAGAAATCCAAGATGAGCTTCTGACCCGAGCTCAGCTCTCTCTCCGTCTGTGACCGTGTATGTGTGTGTGTGATTTACAGCGACTGGGATCAAGATTTCCCTTCTAAAACACTTTCATTGAGAGATTTTAGTTAGAAAACTAAGTAACAGTATAGGGACCAATTCTCACTATAAACTAGTTGCTTATTAACAGGCTTACTATTAACATATTGGCTGTTTCTAAAGCACATATTCTGCATGAGCATATTCTACATCCCTAATCCTAGCCAATACCTAAACTTAACAACTACCTTACTAAATATTAATAAGAAGCAAATTAGTAGTTTACTGAGGCAAAAGTATTAGTTAATGGTTTGTTAATGGCGAGAATTGGACCTTAAAATGAAGTTTGACCAAGTGTTGTTATTATTATTGTTATTATTATTATTAAAGGTGGTGGTTGACATGAAATCATGCTGCTTGTTGAGCAGAAATGATATTATTTTAACTAAGTGAACAGACTTTTTGTTTTTGTTTTCATTTCTCCACTCTTTGGCTGCACACAATTGACTGCCTTCGGCGATAAGCACAGCCACTTGTCGGCTTCACACTTGTTCTCTCTTCTCTCGTCATTAGTCTCTGTATCTAGGCTCGCTCTGCACCTCTTCAGTGTCAGGGTGTTTTGCCTGTTCTCACCTGCTCTGTCTCTCCGTCTGTTAAAATCTCCTGATTACCTGTGTGTCCTGAGCTCATGCCATCTCTCTGCACAGTTCACTCTAGACTGCTTCTCTCAGGTGTAAAAAAATCTAAAAAATTATACTCAACTGAAAGTACAGATACTCATTGAAAATTGTACTCAGTTAAAAGTCCAAGTAGTTGTACTTTTCATATTTGAGTAACAGTACAAATGTACAAAACTTTAAATTGTACTTTGTCAGTCCTGTGCTCCTGTCTTTATTGTGCCCCATGATCTAGTTTCTCCCATGTCTGATTATGTTAATTTGTCCCAGGTGTTTCCTATGTTTATGATGTGATTTATTCCAGGTGTGTCTCATTTGGTTCTAAGTTCTTAAGCCCTGTGTTTTTCCCGTGTCTAGTGTCCGGTATAGTTTGACTATCCCCTCTGCTACGTGTGCTTTGCTTTGCTTTGGTTTAATAAAGACTGTTTCAAGAATTTCCCTACGTCTCCTCACTCCATCACAGTAGCGGCAGCAGCGTGAAAGAATACCGGACCAGCTTACTAACTATTAATAAACAGCAAATTAGGAGTTTGAGGCAAAAGCTGTTAATGGCTTGTTAATAGTGAGAATTTGACCTTAAAATAAAGTGTGACCGAAAACTAATATACAAATTAGAATATTTATTAGTTATGTTTATGTACTATAAAAAATTTGTAATTTAAGTGCTTCAGGCAATTTGTAATATCCAGTGCACTGATCTTATGTTACTAAAGATTAATGAAGCAGTTTCTCTGGTCTTAGGTCCAATTTTCACTTGTGTTTTTTGAACCGTAAATTATTTACTGGAGCATGTAATGAATCAAACAAAATCCCATCTGATATAGTCATACACATCTATCTATCTATCTATCTATCTATCTATCTATCCATCCATCCATCCATCCATCTGTCATCCATATATCCATCTCTTTATGCCTGTAAGGTCAATGTCAACACTCAACGTTTATTTAGTTAAAAAGATGAACCGTAAATTATTTACTGGAGCATGTAATGAATCAAACAAAATCCCATCTGATATAGTCATACACATCTATCTATCTATCTATCTATCTATCTATCTATCTATCATCTAAACTGGATTGATGACTTTACTAAAAAAACTTTACTGTATTACTTAAAATCTTTTTTTAGTCAACTGTACTAGAAAGCCCTTATTTTGCATTTATACCACTGACAAATAAAATGTGAGTTTCTGAAGATCTGAAACCGTGCATCACTTGTTCCAGTCCAAACCAAGTTCCCCAACGACCTCATTTATATCATTCATATGAACACAGAGCTACAGGTGAGTGTGTTTTTGTTGTCTTTATGTCAAGAGGTTGTTGTTAATATTTAAGGGTGAATCATTTCATTTTACGACAGCTCGAATTTGAAAGGAATCATGCTCTCCATTAGACTAATTTTTAGCAATGTTTTGTTATTAATGGTAAAAATTGACCCAGTCTATCTGAATGGTTTTTCTCCCTGTATACTTATCATAATTTCTGTGTCAGTTCCTCAGTCCTGCTGCAGGAGGCGCCAGTGAGTCTCCTCTGATTGGCCAATCAACCATGAGGCTTCAGGAATTATGGGGAAACAACGTAACATTTGCCAGGTACTTCTGTAACAGTGTGGAGATTTGGAGACTTTTAGGTCACGACAGAATATTTACAAATTCTGCATTTTTGATTTGGTAAAATGTTTTACTTGAACTTTTTTGTTTGCCTTTTGAAAATGCAAATTTTAGTTTAGATTTTAGACAGACATTTCTGCATAATTTAGCTCTGCAATATCTGTGTTCATTTATTATGCCTGAGAATAAAGTAATAGTTCGGTAACACTTTATTTTACAGTGTCCTTTTTACACGTTACATATAATTACTATAGTAATAACAATAAATGATACATAATTACATGCAACTAACCCTAAACCAAACCCTCATCTTAACACTAACGCCATAGTAAGTACATGTAGTTGATTAATATTACTTAGTACTTAAATGTATAATTACACTGTAACAAGGAACTCTTTTAATATTAAATACTTTAATATATTTTATTTGTTTCAGTATTTGACAAATAATAATTTTTTTATATGCATGCTGGAAATTATTTGAGGCACTGAAATAATTGTAATCATTTCAAGATCTAACGTAGAGAAACGTTTGGCCAACAAATATACATTAGGGTGTAAAGAATGTAGAAAGTGCTCATGAAACAGGGAAAATGAAAAGGAAAAAAAGAAGTCAATCTATGATGCAACATAAAAATAATTAGAGGGGGAAGGAGGGATGGTTGTGACAGAGGAAGTGATGGTGTCATTGACAGGCGCTGAAGTACCTGTATCATAACGGATCCTGTGGAAGAACACATAAAGATTGTGCTTGAGAAGAGAGGAGAAGCTTCAGCGGCCCTGAGCAGAGTTTACAAGCCGTAAGTACAGAAACGTCTCGTCTGATCTACTCACGTCACTTCATGCCTTGATATTTCTGTAGTTGGAATATGGAGCAGTTCAGAATTGTGTCTTCATCCACAGATGTCCATCTCTGACAGTCCTGCGTCCTCCATCTGTATGTTTGCTCTCCATCATCAGTCCTCCAGCTCTCCTGGCCCCCTGAACCCCGACTCTAGCACCATGAGCGCTCAGATGCCTCAGATGGACACGGGTCTGTACAGCCAGCCCATGGCCTTTCCCAAGACGCCAGACGGCCGGAGCATGGAGCAGATGATGGGCTTCGTGCCGTACTCGTAACAAGTGTAACCAATAATTCTATTTATGAATAGTAAATATTTGTAGTTACATATTTAAAATGTATATAATAATAGTAAAAGAAAAAGATAAGATGGTTTATAAATAATTTAAAATGAGAATAAAAAATATATAGTAACTATTAGAAATATATGTTTAACATTTTTTTTAAACATTATTTATTAGATTATAATAGCTACAAATAAATATTAGATATGAAGCAAGTTAATAATTAGTGTATATATTATGTATATATGTGTGTGTGTATATACACGTGTGTGTGTGTATACAGTATATACGTGTGTGTGTATATATATATATATATATATATAGCGGCCCTGAGCAGAGTTTACAAGCCGTAAGTACAGAAACGTCTCGTCTGATCTACTCACGTCACTTCATGCCTTGATATTTCTGTAGTTGGAATATGGAGCAGTTCAGAATTGTGTCTTCATCCACAGATGTCCATCTCTGACAGTCCTGCGTCCTCCATCTGTATGTTTGCTCTCCATCATCAGTCCTCCAGCTCTCCTGGCCCCCTGAACCCCGACTCTAGCACCATGAGCGCTCAGATGCCTCAGATGGACACGGGTCTGTACAGCCAGCCCATGGCCTTTCCCAAGACGCCAGACGGCCGGAGCATGGAGCAGATGATGGGCTTCGTGCCGTACTCCTCCTGTCTGACCCCCAGCAGCACTGAGCGAGCGCAGCAGAATCAGCAGGTAACACAGACGCTGTTTAAACAGGTTCCTGGAGAAGTTTCTGCCATTGCGTACTGCCAATATTGTGGCTCTTAGGACAAACTGATGTCCCTGTAAGTCGCTTTGAATAATAACATCTGATAAATGTAAACATAAAATGAAAGTCTTCATGACATTTAGCATTAAACACTCTTTTTTTTTTTTTCGTCCAAATCTCTAAAATGCATACGCCTGTCTAAACTGAAACTTGTTTTGACATTTTTAAATTTGTGCCTAATAATTTAAACATGTTTACTGATTATGTCTGAGATTACAAGTAAAATAATAATTATAGGGGTAAATAGTTACTTTTAGTAATTGTATGTTTAATGTTTGTATAATAACATTAAGTTAGATGTCAATAAATAAATAAAGGTTTGTCTGAGTAAAAGTAAAATTAATCAGTAAATAACAATTATAGTAAATAGCTAAATAATGAGGTTTTTTAACATTTTATTTAACTTATTTCCATTTTTCCCCCCCAGATACAGTGGGTACGGAAAGTATTCAGACCCCCTTAAATTTTTCACTCTTTGTTATATTGCAGCCATTTGCTAAAATCATTTAAGTTATTTTTTTTTCCTCATTAATGTACACACAGCACCCCATATTGACAGAAAAACACAGAATCGTTGACATTTTTGCAGATTTATTAAAAAAGAAAAACTGAAATATCACATGGTCCTAAGTATTCAGACCCTTTGCTCAGTATTTAGTAGAAGCACCCTTTTGATCTAATACAGCCATGAGTCTTTTTGGGAAAGATGCAACAAGTTTTTCACACCTGGATTTGGGGATCCTCTGCCATTCCTCCTTGCAGATCCTCTCCAGTTCTGTCAGGTTGGATGGTAAACGTTGGTGGACAGCCATTTTTAGGTCTCTCCAGAGATGCTCAATTGGGTTTAAGTCAGGGCTCTGGCTGGGCCATTCAAGAACAGTCACAGAGTTGTTGTGAAGCCACTCCTTCATTATTTTAGCTGCGTGCTTAGGGTCATTGTCTTGTTGGAAGGTAATAGCAAATGGCTGCAATATAACAAAGAGTGAAAAATTTAAGGGGGTCTGAATACTTTCCGTACCCACTGTATATTATATATAATATAGTATTTTATTTTTGTGTCCAGGAAATGATCGAAGTCACTGATTACTCCAAGATTTATCATGGGAACGTGTTAGTGTTAGTTCCCTCGCATTTTAGTTGTTTGGACGGCAAAGCTGCATATAAATCTAATCTGATAAATGCATGACCATAAATGTTAAAATAAAAGTCTTGAAACTTAAAATGAAATTCACACTGGTAGAAAAAATGACACATTTCAGTTTTAGTTTCAGTTTTAGATGGTTGTTGTTGTTGTTATTAGTATTACATATTTTTTAAGAATGTCATAGTTTTTATTCTGTTTTTAGTTTTAGTTATTTTCAAGTTGAACTAAAAAATTATATGTTGCTGAAATAAAATAAGTTAGCATTATAATATATTTCAGTTAACATTTTATTTATCATTTTAGTTTAGGAGCACTAGTTGTATGGATAGTTTGGTTTGTGTCATTTTCCAATGCATTACATTTCTTGGAAATCTCATGCTTTTTCTATTATAAATAATATATATTTCTAGATTTTTACTGGACTTGTTTTTCTTGTCCTTTCTCGGTAACTCCACGAATCTTTGGGAAGGATTTTTCGCAGTTTCTTCTGCCGCCCCCGGCCTCCACCCTGCGGCCGATGGGACAGAAGCGCGGCCCGAGCAAAGACAGCGTGGAATACCGTCTGCGCAGAGAGCGCAACAACATCGCGGTGAGGAAGAGTCGCGATAAAGCCCGGCGGCGGATCCAGCTGACCCAGCAGAGGGCGCTGCAGCTCCAGGACGAGAACCACAGCCTGCAGCTGCACATCCAGCGCCTGTCGCACGAGGTGGATGCACTCAGACACTACCTGTCACAGTGCCACCTACAGGCCAAAGAGCAAGACACCACCGGGGACTGAAGGTTCTGTTGATCGTAGGGCTGCACGATTAATTGAAATTAAATCGCAAAGGCGAAAAATCACGATAAGGCAGAAGCTGCGATTGTCATGCGTATCTTTCAGTGAAGCACGGTTCTGTGATCAGCAGTAAATCTCCATCTGAACGCCAGAGGGCGCTCTCGCGCTGAAACTCCAAATACGCCTCGCAGAAGAAACCCAGGAAATCCCTAAAGCGGTTGCTGAATAAACAGAACATTTAACTGCTTTCATTAATTCAACGTGACTAATAAACACACAACTACGACAATATATGGTTTATCTGAGTTCGTCTTATTATAATAAAGTATATAATAATGCAATGCTAATCGACATGGCCTTTATCACTGCTTAAATACTATGAAATATGTTGCGTGCCTTATTCTGTGTAAGAAGCCACATCATCTCACAGAAGGGTTTATTTCAAACACTCGACTGACGTTATGAAGTGAGTTTGGAGTAAAAACATGTTATTAAATGTGGTATTTTCAAGTGCTTTCAGATGGAGCAGCATTTACTACACAGAGCCGTAGTTCACTGACAAGCTAGTATTCCGTTACTCCCCAACCCTGCCAGCACCTCTGGTAGTTTAGAATGTAACACCTATAAATAGTGAGAAAATGTGAAGGTTTATTTTTTAGGAACTCAGAAATGTTAATTTTCTTTTATTCTTTTTTTTTTTAATCCTGTTTTGCATGAGTTGTGGCCAGGGGCCGACTAATGGAGGTGTGATGAGGCAGAGAGTAAGGTGCTCGTTAAAGAGCCCACAGGGGGGTCTGTGTGTCTGCATATGCGTGTGTGTGGGCTAAGACCCCTTGGGAGATGTATAATCCTTCCCATTATTAATGACATGGACTGCTAGGCCAGAGGGTGGAGACTGGGGTGAGAGTGAGATGTTGCTTTATTCTGCTCGTGTGCCTTCTGTGAGAAATAATTTACATTCCACGATGACGGCATCAGATAAACTAATCAAAAACTAAAGTATAGACAAAACTGAGTGAGAAAAAAAAAACTTAAAGGGACAGTGTCTACGAAAATTATAATTTGGTCATCATTTTGTAGGGCTGCACAATAAATCAAAATGAAATTGCAATCATGATTAGGCAGAAGCTGCAATTGTCATGCGCATCTTGTCAGTGAAGGTTCTGTGATCAGCAGTAAATCTCCATCCGAAGGCCAGAGGGCGCTCTCGCGCTGAAACTCCAAATACGCCTCGCAGAAGAAACCCAGGAAATCCCTAAAGCGGTTGCTGAATAAACAGAACATTTAACTGCTTTCATTAATTCAACGTGACTAATAAACACACAACTACGACAATATATGGTTTATCTGAGTTCGTCTTATTATAATAAAGTATATAATAATGCAATGCTAATCGACATGGCCTTTATCACTGCTTAAATACTATGAAATATGTTGCGTGCCTTATTCTGTGTAAGAAGCCACATCATCTCACAGAAGGGTTTATTTCAAACACTCGACTGACGTTATGAAGTGAGTTTGGAGTAAAAACATGTTATTAAATGTGGTATTTTCAAGTGCTTTCAGATGGAGCAGCATTTACTACACAGAGCCGTAGTTCACTGACAAGCTACGCAAACAGCTTTCATAATCGCAGAACGATTTCTTCGATTTCATAATCGTGCGATTAAATCGCCTGCGATTATGAACGCGATTTTGCATAGCTTGTCAGTGAACTACGGCTCTGTGTAGTAAATGCCGCTCCATCTGAAAGCACGTGCTGGAGATTTACTACTAATCACAGAACCGGCTTTGCTGACGAGATGCACATGAAAATCGCATTCGATTAATCGTGCAGCCCTAGTTGATCGTGATCGAATCATTTTGGATTGGCTTTGTGATTTTCATATAGTTTCAGTAGATGGGATGAGTAAATGTTAGGGATGTCACAATTCTCAATATAATATCGAACCGTTCGGTACGACATCCACGGTTCAATACGCGTTTGTGAATTGCGGTTTTGCGTTTAAATAATATTCGTGTGTTTCATTTCTCTCAGAATTGGCTTTGTGTGTGTGTGTGTGCCCGTGAGTTCACATGCTGAGATGAGGAAATGCTTCCCCGCTTTTAACGTGCATTTGAAAAAGCAACACACGCCGAGCATCTTCCCTTGTAACGACATGTGATGATAAGCCTTTCTAAACCCGTTTTCCAACAATAGAGAACATTATAACTTGTTTTTACTTTACACACTTCCTTTTGTGATCTGGTGTGGCTTCTTGTCACAGAA